CCGTACAATACTTTTGTGGTTAAAACCTGAATATATTTCACCCCTCAGATATATGATTACATGTTTCCACTATATTTATTATGTATATATATTATAAAGTATATAGAGTATATATAGTGGCCACTTAGTGAAATTAACCTTCTCATAAAATGGAAACGGCTTTTTTACACGAAAATATTTCATGATATGACATTATATAATTATTTTCATTATATGGTCATTCCTTTGTGTACTGAAAATATATTTTTATTAATCATAACTTTATAATCATTTTTGTTTGTCATATATTGTTATATGATATTTATATTATATATAGTTTAGTTTTAATATACTTAATAATAATAGCTATATGTAGGTAATTAAATAAATTCCATAATAATTTACATATAATATTATTTATTTATTATATAAGCTCAACGTTTTGTTTGACAAGCATTTATAGATGCATTACTCAAAAATCCTTGATCTCCAGACTTAACTTTAACTGTTCCATGCAAAGTCGTTTCTTTTCGATTGCTGACTTTATCAACAGATATGAAATGTGTTGTGACACGCTGCATATCCAGAACTACACCATCCTTTAGTAAAACCATTTTCAGTTTCTACATTGTACATCTCTTTTTTTTCTCAACTATGACAACAATGATGCGCACAGGGTCTGAAGGCACTCTATCGACTTTTGGAACATGAATTGTGATTCAGTCAAAGTTTTGACTAAAAAAACATAAACTGTAACAAAATATATCTAAATCTATCTAAATATACACGGAAAAAACAAAACAGTTCAACCCACTATTAAAATAGGTAGTAGATTTAACAGTATTTTATAATTGCTATAGGAATAGCTATAATATTAGTGAGATTTACTATAATGTTTTAGTTAAGTTATTATAGTCATTGTTACTAGAAAATAAAGTAATTTTTATTAAAATTTTATAGTTCATTGTATATTTTTATTTGGTTGTCCAAACAGTATTTATAGTAGTACACACTAAAATTTCTAATAGTCAGAAGTGAAAGGTTTAATTCATATCACTGCAGCAGAAATTTAATTTACTATAATAAACAGTTTATTGAGCTATAACTCGTAATAACTACTACTATAAAATTAAGTAATCGTAACCAAATTTTATACTTAATTATTTTTTATATTTAGCAGTACCTGCTGTCATATATAGTAACTTTTACTATAAAATTACAATATTCATTCAAATTGTACCTAATATAGTTGCTATTTTTTTGACTAGTACATGATTTTACCTATAAAATTTAAAAGAACGTTGTTAAATATAGTAACCAAATATAATTTCGTTTTTTTTAAATACAATATTTATTTATTTTTTTATTTTCATTTGTGTAACAAATTTACTGGTTATTTGGTGACTAATTAAAATAACAACATATCAAAGTTTTTGAATATAGTTATTATTCCAAAAAACAAATAACAATAGGACATATCATAGATTAAATATACAATATATTATATTATATTATATGTACATATATACTTTTTTCAAATCAGAATTCACCGTGGGCGGCGGACACAAATCTGGTCGAGCCCGTGCATGTCATATAACAAATTTAATAATAATTAATTGTAAGTGGTGAAGTATTTACTCGTAATTGTTCCAAGTTTCATCTTGGTGTCTTGCCATGTGGGACGTGGTGCATTCTTATTAAACAAATAGTATAGATTTTTTTACAATAAATAATTTAAAAAAAAAAATGTATAAAATTAATATTTAAAATAATTAGGACAGCTTTTTAATAATATTGTTTTTAAACATCATACTAGTTATTACATTGTGTAGACTTAGCGACAAAAATATAAGTAACATAAATATAATATAGGTAGTACAATAAAAAACAATTTGGTTATTTACATTTTATCAATGTATTTCCATTGTTAATGTTTTTATGGAGAACAGGAAAACTGTTTTCTATGTCTTTAAGTTTTATAAAATTTAACTTGTTGGTCAATATTACTTTAAATGCTCCAAAATGTTCATCATAAAAAATGGTTTTATATAAAACATATATAATAAATGGTTCGTTTTTGACAATGGAAATACTTTTAATAAACCCAAATAATAGTAACATATCGTTGTTTTCATCACATACCTTTATAATAACGGACATATTCTTGGAGTTATATAAAAGGCCATTAATTTTTACCCATGAAACAAAAAATGTAACGTCGTGGTTATTTAAATCATAAGGACCTGAATACTCATTATATAAGTCAATTTCCAATTAACTTAATTTAATTGCTGGTCCTATTTCTATTGGAGTTGTATCAAATCAATTTTGGGGGATAATAATCTGTATGAAAGTCTTAATTGTTGTTTTGGGGACAATGTTTTTACAATATTTTTTCTAGAAGTTGTCGAATTAGCAGTTGTTTTTAGTTCTTTATGTTTACCTTCAAAACGCATTCACCAATGTAATGGTAATGGTTCAGATTTTCGTAGTATTAATGGATAATGGACCATATGGTAGTGCTTTGGCTTTAAATTTTTATTACGAAATATTTTTAGGTACGTTTCATGGTGTTCTGTGATTAAATTTTCAATTATAAATGAATCTTCAAATGTAATACACTTCGATAATATTATATTTAAAATATTATCGAGAATAATGTATACTATCCAAATTTCAGAATTTCTAGGAACCAAATCACCTATCATTAGTCCTAAATTTTTAACAAAACAAAGCATTTCACTTGCTAACATTTTTAGTATTGCTTTAACTTTCAAAGTTTCACTAGAAATCAAAGTTGGTCTATTTTGAATATCAATTGGGTCATAGTCAAATAATTCGATTCTATTATTTAATGTATTAAATGAAAAGTATTTCAAACCAAAAATCATTCTTTTACATCAAACCAACATCGTAGTTGCATACACCTTCTAACATATCATGCATAACATCAACACTATAGTTATCTGTAACATGAAATGAATTAATCAATTCCACACACAAGGTTCTTTTATTCCAGTTAATGATACATCATTTTTAATGAGATCGTCAGTATAATTTTGTTATAGTTCTAAAATTTGTATCTACTCGTGATATTTGTGTATGACATACGATTTTTTCAGTCTTACAAAATCTACAAGGATAGTTAGCAACAAAACTTTCCGTGAATCCTAATATTGAATGTAACCCTAAGTTATCTCCAATAATTAAACCTAAGGAGAAGTAAATGTGGTGAACTTTATTATTTGAAGTAATAAAAATACCATGCGTTTCTAAATAAATTAATTCGGAAATTATGTCCTTATTATTATGATATAAAAATAAAAGTAGTCAATGGTTAATTGGAAATTTAGTCATTTTTGACTGAAAATATTTATGTCGGTATTAAAAATAAATAGATTGATTCCCATAACTCAAAAAATAGTAGATCTTTCTGATTTATCTTTAAAACTTGACGAGGTATTTACAGGAGATGAAGAGTTTTTTTCTGTTTTGGAATTGTCTTCATCTGTATTCTCTCTTACTACTTGTATTTTTTTAATCAAAAATGTATCTATTTTATTTCAATTATAATTGAAATTATTATAATTTACTAAAAACAATAACTATCCGACTATAGAAGTATTTAAAAAATTTTGTCGCTGGTTTTAAAAAGTGATAATAAAAATATATTGTCTAATGATGAAGATAACTCAGGAGACAAACATGCTAATGACATGTATACTGCACCTAACTTTTGTGAACCAGCATGGGAACCTAGTGGGTTGTTAACTTCAAAATCATCATAGTATAAAAATAAAGGGAAAATTGTTTTATTTGGAAATTTATTTTGACATTTCAATTGCCATTGTTTGGATTGCATAAAGTTGTACATAAATTTACTGGTAGACATATTTTCTGTGTATTTTATTATTACATCTAATAAATTTGAGTGTTCTAGAACTTTTTTTTAAAATATCTCTAAGTGGCGTTAAACATAATTTAATTTCCTCATGATTTACTGCAACTCTACCAATAACTAATCTATCTCCTAATCGGTACCCAATAACTATTTCCTTTGGTTGAAATAATACTCCTAGATCATGGAGTGTTTTAAATCTCATATATTTAGTTTTCATGCTAACAAATGGATCTGACAAAATTTTCATTTCGCTAAGAACTACTAATAATTCATCTTTCGCATTAGAATCCTTACAATTACAAATACATTTATTGATTTTAGTACTAAAAAACTAAAACAATTGAATCGACAAAATCTTGGATATCATTAATTAGAATATCAATTTTATTTCGGGGAATAACTGTGTCACTATACCATTTACAAATCATACTTAAAGCTAATGATTGTAAATTTTTTAAATCATCAGATTTAGGAAAATTATGATTTTGTTTATTATCATCTATAGTACTTAAACTTAAATTTGTATCATTATCAGAAGACGGTACACAGTTTATTGTTTGTTCAAATAGATTATTATTTACAGATTGAAAATTTTTATTAGGTATGTCTTTTGTGGATTTAGAATTTAAGTCATGTTGATTAAGGTGTCTTTTATAGGTATCAATATTATTAAAAATACGTAAACAGTTCTGATATGGACAATTAAATGTTTCTATTGTTTTTAAATCATGATATATTAAAATGACTAAACAAATGAAACAAATGATTTAGGCATTCGACCTCATAAGAACATAAAAAACAGTTAACCATCATAACAATAAGATATTAAAAATAATTATTATAAATTATCAAATTTGGTATATAATATAGATGACAAAATTTAAAAATATTTACATAATAAAGAAAGATTGTAGATAGGTACCTAAGGGCACAAGAACATAAATATTACTTATAATAATAATTACTAATAGTATTACAAATTATTTAAACTATTTATTTATACAGGATTGCTATTAACAAAAGTACCTACCTATATTTAATTGAAATTGGAAACTGCTATTGCAAATCTTTAATTAAAGTTTGAACAGCCACAAATTTTTTTTTATGAACATTTGCTATTTCAAAAAAAATAATCCTGAATAAACCACCGAACCTGCTCAGCTTCTGGAGGATAGTTTAAATTTAATGCATGGAATGATTTAAAACAAATATCTAACGCCTTAATTGGTGTTTCGATTTTGTCAATTACAGTATAGTAGTTCAATACACTACTAGCATCTTCAATATTCCCCACGATGGCGATATATGGTTGAACAGTTAAATTATTAATAAATGCTCTATTCACTTTTTGTTCATGGGTTGTCTTGATGTCATTACTATTCTGTGAAATAAGCAATTTTAAATTAATTCCGTATTTAGTACTTTAATAATATAGTTACACCATAAAGTGTTAATAAAATAGACCTAATAATATTAGGTATATATATATATTATACTATATTATAGTGATGGGAACATCGGTGAAATTTTTGATAAACGAAAGATTAAGAATATCAAGATGTTACAATCGAGTGATTCACTCGAAAAATTACTCTGTTAATTTATTTCAATACCGAGATAATCATTCAATTGCTTTCAAAACAATCGAGATAATTGATTAAATCAAACAATGGAGCATTTTGAGTGTTTTCACTTGATTATTCCCGTCACTAAACTGAATTAGATATTTGAATTTTAGAATTTATTAATGATAAGAAAGCACATCAAAGATATCATTTAGATGAGGTATCTATTCTGTGGTATTGGTATCATTTAATAAAATGTTTACAACAGCTATTAGATTACAAACTAAATAATTATTAATTTAACAATGTAAATAAATAGTCTGAGAAATGATGGCTTATACTAGTTATAACTTGAGTGTATAGTGTAAGTGTATCTACTTAATTTATATTTTAGTGTTATTTTATGTTTTAAATGTTAAGCATTAGGTATTGAGATTTTATGTTTTCTGTTGTTTTATTAAAACTACCTATAAATACTTGTGTACCTATAAGAAATATTTTAATTTTGAGACAAAATATTAGATAAATACAAAATAAAATATTTAAAACTTACTTTGATATTGACTATCACAGCACTAGCTTGTTCTAATTTTGATGGTTTCAGCATACAATATTTAATGGTTTTTTGATTGTCCTCATTGGCAGTCTTCTTTGGAATTTTAATATTCACTGGTTTAAATAGGTATGAAAGAATTTGAATAATTGCTAAATCATCATCACCTAAAACAAATTACAGATAAGTACCAACCTTTCTGTTTACCAACTTCAATTTTATTTTTATTAGTAATGTTATGTTAACAGTTAAACAACTTGCCTAATTTAGCAGGTGATATAATTTTTTTAATTATGTTTTGTTCAAACACATTTAAATTTGATTGTCCTTTAAAATATGTTTTTAATTTATTTTTAAATACAACAAATTTTTGTAAAAGATATTGGTCTTTCATTGGAAATAAGTGAGAAAAATCCATATCAATCTAAGAAAAATCATTGTGTATATTTCTAATTATTTATTTGAAAAAAAAAATTTTATTTTATTATTAAGATTTAAAAAATATATATTTGAAAGCAATAAATTTATTTATTTATATTTTAATATTAATTAAATATACTGCAATTCAAACATTTTTTTAAATCTATTATGGCATAAGGACACCTTTTGTAGTTTGTGTGACTAAACTTACAAGTATGTGACCTGTTGCCTTTTTTAATGCTGGATATTTTTGAATAGCATTTTCGTTGATTAGCTTAGTATTTCTGTAATGAGCAGTTTCAGCCCATAACTGGTGTAAAATTATTTCTGGTTCTATTTTATGTTTTAGCCAATTTATTGAATCTAAAATATCTATTTAATATAAGTATGCAATAAGTATTAATAAATAAGAATTACAAATTAATATTATAATAAATATCTAATTCTAATGTCAATTTCACATTATAAGAATCATATTTTATTATAAATAAAAAATTAAAAATAATTAATAGATACCTTCTTCATTAATAAAAATTTCATTGTCTTTATTGTGTTTTTTATTACTTTTATTATTTTGTATTTTCTTTATCTCTTTTTTTTAAATTGCAATATTTGTCATACAATTTTCTTCGATTAGGACTCACTTTATTACCTTCTTTATAATAAGGTATGAAATAGATGTATTTGTTTTCTGAAGGAAAGAATTCTTCTATACCTATCGAGTATGAAAACCCCTTTTTATTTATTATAGTTTTTAACAAACCATATACATAGTATAAAACTTATACAATATTTACCTACTACATTATTAAAAATAAGTTGCTTTATAGAGTTATAGTTGTAGAGTTGAAAATAAAATAAATTAAAAAACATCTTAGATATAAAATAATTTTAAATGTTTTTACAGTGCCTAATATATTTTGTTTATAATGATTAATTTTTAATGATATATATGTTATAACCCACATTCATCATTCTTTAAATGTCAAAATACCTATATGTAATGTTACGAATATCTACCATTTGCAATTTTCGAAAATTGTGTCTTCTCAATTTTATTTGCACCTTTAGTTTTAAAAAGTTCATCTTTTATTAATACTCCACAAAGTCGGTTTCTCATTTTTGAATTTAATGACCCATATGAATTGAAGTGTTGTAGTATAAGGAGGCCATCTTGGTATTGCTCCAATGTTTTTTTTTTAATAAAATGATCTATAATTTAATTTATTTTCATTATCATATAGAATTTTTGAATAATTTGCAAATAACTTTTACTATTACTCGAATTCACATCGATGGTTGGTGGATTATCAACATTAGAAACTTCAGACTCTGCTCTAGTCGTTGATAAATTTTCAAAAATGTCTGAAATAAACTTCTTAGGTTGCGGCTTATCTATATATTATGATATAATTAATATACAATTATATACGATTTTATTTCTATAAAACCAAGTGTTTATCAAATAAGTGATTGTTAATAAATTATGTTATACCTGACTGATTAGTATCTTGTTGAATAGTATTTAAAGTATCAATTGCATTATTTTGAAATGGCTCTGCGATTACATTGTAATATGATACATCTATATAATATAATTTGATTTTAATTGTGTTATAATGTACAAAATATATTTTAATTAGGTACCTACTATAATTTTATTGTCAGTCTGGCTCACCTAGCTATCCAGGGTTTTTTATAGGTACTAATTGTTTTGATAATTAAGGAGCATAACACCAAATTTAAACATTGAAAATACCACAAAAAATTGGTCCTTTTCTTGACATAAATAAATATTAAATTGAAATGTTTCACCTACATACCAATATAATATATTTTTTATTGGTTATTTGCATTAAATTTATACTCTTTTTGTACTCAGTCAAATTTTAAAATTTAAAGTAATATTCAAAATCAAATAAAAAACTGACTGATTTGAACAAGTAATATACCTAAGTTTTCTTTAAATTAATACATTTTCAAATTTTTACTGTAACTAGCAAAAGATGTAACCAAGTGTTTAAATTAAAAGATCACTAATAATTTATTAACTTAAGAATTAATTAAGAAAATTGACTTAGTATTTTAATTAAATTGTTTCTTTAAGAATATAAACTATTTAATTAATTAATAACATTGGTAAATAGTAATGTAGATAACACAGGCTGTAATTGCAATGATAAATTTCAGAAGTTTTTAAAATATTAATATTAGTTATACTGAACATATTTTCAAGTAGGTATAATTCATTTTAATTTAATAATTTTTTTTATTTTAATTAATTATGTTTGTTGTAGTTCTTTATTATAGTGTATTTAAATAGTGAGCTCAATCACAAGCCAGACCAACACTGACCTAAACTTATGTTAATCTTTTTTTTTTTAATTACCTTTTTCATCTGTCACAACAGTCATGTTCATCATTGACTCAAATATCAATAATTTTTCATTATTTTAACTGAACTTCCTAATTAAGTCAAAATACAATTTTTGGGAAACAATTAAAAAAAAAAATTGTTTTGAGTATTGCAAGTAAAAAAAAAAAACATTTAATAATTGATATCAAATTAAATAAATATAATAGGTTTACACTTACTGAACTTAGTATTATTTTTAGTTTTTTCCAACTCATTAATAAACTTGGCTGTTTGACCAATTTTGGGAATTAAATTTTTCAACATTATATCAGTTAATATCATCAAAACTGTTTTATTAATTTCTTCCTCTAAAAACATATAATAATACATAGGTATCTCTCCTAAAATGGTTTATTTATCACCAAAAAATAAATGTATGATAAATAAAATCGATTTTGAATAAATAAAACTAATAATGTAACAAATATTTATTTATTTAGTTAAAACTTGAATTTGAAAAATAGAAAATAACTAAATAAATAGAGATAAAATCTAAAAAAAAAAAATGTTTTGGGGGATATACTCGTAATATATACTCTTTAAAGCATATTAATCTAATGTTATCATAAGTTATACCTTCTAATTTTATTTGAAAAAAATTACTAAAATGTTTTGTCATTGATGATGAAATTTAACTCCCTACGTTTAATAAATTTTAATACAATTTTTTTTTAATATTCAGTTAATTTATATCAAAATTGATCTTGAGTTTTGAAAAATATTTGTTTGACAAAAATTGTTTTTAAAAAATCGATTCATCATTTATTTGATGAATATTTATTCCACTATTTAAATATTTTGGAAAAATAAAGTTTCATTAAAAAAAAACGCACGTTGCCTACAAATTTCTAAGTTAAATATATCAAATTATAATATCATCAAAAGTGATTAAAACATTAGAAGGTCTAAATCAATCAAATAAATGGATATTTTTAATCTGTATTCAGTCATTTTTTTTATTTTTATTTTAATTTGCTTTTGTTCGCTCATTACAGCAACATTCAGTCATAAAATGGCCTTATATTATATTAATTGCGAAGACAACATACTGAGTATAATGGTTTTATATTTATATATATTTTTTTTAAACTGTTCTTTTCTTATTATATTTTTACTTTACCTTCAAATTTATTCACTAAATGTTGAAACCCAATATAATTTAACCAGTTTTTGATAAATTCATCCATATTTAAGTAGGTATCTAATGTAACAATTATTCAATAAATTATATTAAATCGATTTATTTTTATAGGTAGTAACTTATAATTTATAAATAATATCTATATATAGTATGGCTCAGAAGTCCCGTGCTACCCTTATAATTTCTGGGCGGTATATCAATATTTTTGAATGTAGTTTTTTAGAGATTAATTATTACATAAATTACAATTTAATGCCATTAATTAAAAAAAAAATTAAATTTTTGTTCAATCAGCTTTATATTCTACTATTATCCGAGACCAAAAAAATTTATTTTTTGATGAGAAATAAGTGTTAGAGAAAATTTAAAATATTCAAAATTTCTTTTCACAAAAATATTTTTTTATATTATTATTAATCTATATTTAAATTTACATAAAGTTTGTATAAAAAAAAGTTTTATAGGGCCTTTTTGGAAAATTTTGGAAAAACTATTGAGAATTTCAAAAATTACTTTCAAAAAGTACCATATAGGAGCATATTCTGATTCAAAAAGTTACTTATGTAAACTCTCAGGCAAGCATTTCTATAGGAAAAAGTGTTAACAAAAAATATTAATAATAATATCTAAGTAAATAAACATCATATATAGTAAAACTATATTTATATTTCGCTCCACTCAGAACCTTAAAGTAATATTTTTTCATGTATAATTTCAACGATAAACACGACATAAATTGTATACTTTACATCTACTAAGTATAAATATTTAAAAATTTAAATTTAACTGCTTTTAAAAAATTGTTTCCTGATTTAAGTAGGTAGGTATCTAAGATATTATAGACCTATACAATTCGGTAATTAATTTATATTTAATAAACTATATAACTATAAGTCGATATTTATTTAAATAATTTGAACAAAACTCGAAAATAACTGTATACATTAATAATATACTACATATTCAGTATATAGTGTAAAAAACTTACTTTTTTTGACTTGAATCCGTTGAAATTTAGAGAGCCGTAGCGTCAAACTTTCTTGTAGAAGTGTCGCAAAGTATGATAAATAAATTACTGACATAAGGGTGATGGTGACCACCATCCATTAGCTGATAATATGTTTTGCAAGAGACAAAATTCTTAAGAATTTTTATTTCATGCCGCGCGTGTTGCCTCGTGCCTTATTTTACTTTTGTGTTTGCGACTCGCGCGTGTTTAGTTTTCACCGAATTATATTTCGACAGTTCGACTTAAAATATTTTATAGCAAATTGATCTATTGCTATAGTATTCAATTATTTGGGCTATAAAATATAGTTGATTTAAACATATGAAAAAAAAAAACTATAAAATATAGTAATATTTACTATTGAAACCAACTATTTTTATATAGTCTTAATAACTATACTGTTTTAGTCATTCAACCTATAAAATAGTGATTCTTATTACATTTTCCATGACTATAAAATTTTAGTAATTTTTTTTTCCGTGTACTACACATTTAATTTATTTAATATGAACCTATGTCATATTGTTGTGTATAATAAATAATTAAGTACCTGTAACATTTTTCGGTGGCTTTTTGGCTTTTTTTACCTGTATGCGCTGCTTAAAGTCCTTATACTATTTTCTGATTTGTTTTACACAAATCATAAAAATCTTCTGTGGATATAATTTTCCAAATAAAATTCAAACTTCAAGCCTGCAGACTATTTTTTTTTAGATTTATTACTCTTCGTCCATGCTCGAAGCATATTTTCAACATCTTGATTTCTACGTTAAATACTTTCCTAACTCTGAGGATGTTTTGGTCTTCCGCGTACAATAAAATACCCCCGCTAAAGTTCCTTAATTTCGTTAATTACAAAATGTATATACTCTTTACCGTTATCACTTTGTAAAACTTTCGTTGTACTAAAAATTAGGAAAATTATAGATAAATTAAATGTTACTTCTGCCGCTTGTTTACTTTCAAGAGAAAATACAGATATACATTTTGCATAATGGTCTTGGTAGTTTAAAATACATTTATATTTTTCGTCAGGTAATGACTGGAAATCAACCAAGTCATCTTGGCCTCTCAAATTATTTGTTAATAATTACAATATAAAAATTTACAATATTTAAATTATCTTATAAATTGTTTAACTACCTACATACAACTATTATTAATTATATCAAAACTAAACTAAATATTATATAAATACCATATTACAAAATATAACAAACAAAAATGATTATGAAACTATGATTAATATAAAATATATTTTCGCACACAAAGAAAACGATTAAATTGTGAAAATAATTACATGATATCATATTAGAGTGAACATTTCGTGAAATATTTTCGTATTTTACGAAGTGTGAAAAAGCAGTTTTCATTTCATGAAATGGTAAATTTCACTAAGTGTTAACAACATATACATATATATTATATATATATATATGCGTGTGTATCAATACACACACCTGATTTATTTTTTCTTTACAATACGAGTATTCCTATTAGAATGTAGAGTGAATATGAATAGGGCTCGGAAGTTATGGGAGTTGCATATTGTTCTATGTTTTTAATTTATAGCAGACTAAACTAGAAATCCGAGCTATACAAGGGTGAATTAGAAAATAGGAGTTTAAAAATGTATATTTTGCATATTTGGTCAATTTTAGGGGTAAAGTGCATATTTGTTGATTTTCATATGCATATTATACATAACTAATAACATGTAAAAAAAATTGATTTATTTCTTTCTTAATCTATGTAAAGATAAACCACTAACCTGACGTTAAAAGATTTTTTTTCTCGATATAAAAATCTTTAGTTGAATAATCGTCGACCATTTAAAATTTAAAATCTTAAGAAAATATTGGTGTTTCAATGCAGTTGTGTTAACAGATATTATATAACACATATTTTTTCATATTTAATTTGAAAAATATTGTAAAAATATATTTTAATTATATTTTAAAGTTCAATATAATATCAAAATTCCAACCAGCTATATATTTTTTTTTAAGTATTTAGTTATAAATAAATAATTTTTGTCTATATCATTAATTTTTTACAACATAAATGTATTTTTTTTTTTGGAATTCAGAATATTTTTATTGCATATTTTTCTATATTTAACATTTTTTTTTTTGTACATATTTAAATGTATATTTTGTCTTTTTCAGCT